AACGAAAGTTCTTGAATTCAATCTTGATCCAGCAGATTGGCATTCTTGTGTCGTCTGCTGAGGCGCCTGTAATAGTCCTAGGTTTCTGGGATCCACTGAGGCACAGCATTGCCGTTAAAAAGCGAGGCGCCAAGTTAGAAACCTGTGGAAGTTTAATTGTTTGAAACGCCAGTTCCCTGTCCAGCAGCATGGCGTCGATCACATGCAGGATGCCAACGGGGCTCTCCGTGGGTGGGACTTTGGGGGTGGCCCATAAAGATGTGGGAGCTGGAAGCAGACAAAAGCTGTCTCAGGTATGCAGAGGTTTCTTTTCAATCTCACTGGGCTTGCTCCACGGCTTTGGTGACACTACGAGCAATTTCTGGTTGCTGTTAGGTTGATGAAATGCCTGGATTTGAACCGTGAACCGCGAAGCAAAAAACTTTCGCAGTTGCTCTAGTTTCAGAAGGTTGTTCCGCTGGTGCTTAAGGTGGCCGGCTTGGTGGTGTGCTTCCATTCAGCTTTGAATCTGTTTCTCAACACACAGATGCTGGTTCCGGAGGGCTCAATTGATTAGAGTGCTCTCAATTCTCTTCCCTTGTGGAAGGGAGCAACTCGATTGGCGCTCACAAGCCTTTCAGAGCTGTTAATGTCCGGTCCTTCCATGTTGCTGAAAGCAATCAAAGTGCCGCTCTCCTCGCTTTGGAATGGCTGGTAGTTAGTTAAGATTCTGATACTTGGTGGTACCCTTTGTTTCTTCAAAAGCTTTGGGCAGATTCGTGATTTCTTGAACTCTGTCTGTAACGGGAGGACAACTTTCCCAGCCCCACCCCTTTGTTAGAAAGAAAATTGTCCAGAATTTCATGGTCGGTGCTTCTGTTCCAAGAGACAAGCTCTAGGACTTTGCGGCCATCCTTCTGTCCCCATAGCGGTGGGGCAAGTTTTGAGAAGTGGCTTAGACAAACCGGCTTTTGCTTCCTTTGAGGCTGTTCGCTGGGTGTGGTTGTGTTGTCATACTGACTTTTGGACCTATCAGGCGCTGTGAAAACATATATCTTATCTTTGGAGTGTGATGATGCTTGACGTTAGTCTCTCCTCATATAACATCAAGGAAAACACGGACTTCTGATTGTCCGCCTAGCTCCTTTCAGGAGAGTATCTATAAGCGACGCTCAGCGCAACGCTCACCGCACTCATAATTGCAAGCCCATCCTTATCTACTTCCCTACTGGATTGGAGTCCGGAGCAGGCGTTGTTGGCAGTTCTGACTGATACCCTGCGACACCCATTGCAATCTGCCCAGTTCCTTCTTCCTTCAACCTTCTTATCCAGTGCATATGTTGGTTTTCAACAGGTGTCTCCGGTCTCCTCATATTCTGGCCTCCGTCCCCTGTGGTCTCAAAAACGCACCGCACGTGCTTCCGGGTATTCGTCCAGCTCCGGGGCCTCTCGCCGAAGTGTTCAAGTGAAGGCACTTTTGAACCCTCAAGATGACCCCATTATCAACGAGGCGCTCAAGGAACCCGTTGCCTTTTTCGGTGGTCTGTTCTCGGGTCTCCTTAGATTAGACCTGAAAGAGGAGCCCTTGAAGGACTGGCTAGAAAAGACGGCAGACGCTGCAGGGGTGAAGCCTGATGGGAGCGTAGACTCCATAGTTATCGAAGATGAAGAAGGGCCAGTTGAGATCGATATCGAAATTGATTAACGCAGCGCTGCAGTAAAGCGCCAGAGTTTCCTGTTATCAAGCTGATTTCCCAATCATTGGACCCCAATAATTTTGTACATACTGAGTTGGATAGAGATGCCACAGAAAGGAGCAGACGGGTTAAGAATGAGCATGGAGTAACTCCTTATTGAATGATTCTTGAATTGTCACCGTCCATACCTTCCGTGATTTGTATGATGAGAACTCGAGGAGTATTCTGGCTCGTACTTCATCCATGCAACGGCTACTCTAAGGATTCGTTTGCCACTGGCATCATGACGGCCGTGCAATGAGTCAGGATGGCCATGCACAAGCCTTCGATGTTCAATACAGGCCGAATCATTGAGTGCCATGGGTCCTACCTTCGGCATTGCAGATTGCAAATGGGACTAATGATGCGCACACGCGCAATGGTCATACGTGAGGACTGCATCTTGTTGTGTCATAGAAACCGTAGCTTGAGATTTTATGCTTGCCTAGCTGTATAGATATTTTTAATATGCCTCCAGGCTCCAGCTAGCAACATACACCTCATCGTGGGCGCACTGAGAAGCATTAGCACGGTACCAGGTACTAAGGTGCCAGCAGCTATTCAGGTAACTCGACATGGGAATGGTATAGTCGCACCGTAACAATCATGCTATTGTATGAATCCTAGAATCTTGCATGCAAGTACCGACATGCCAGCATGAGGCATACCAAGCGCAAGTGCGCATATGCATGATGTGATTGTACAAATTTGACCAAGCGTGAGTCGCATCACATTGAACAACTCCTTGACCTCAGTGGATTGACTCGGTCTGCATAAAATTAACAATCATGTACATGTCACGAAGCTTCGTCCATATGCTCTTTCAAACTCAAGCGCATGTAAAGGTAAGTTAACATCTTTGTCGCATCCCTGTTCGTCCAACAGATCCGAAACTTCTGGCCGACTAATGTACAAGAAGGTCAGGCGCGACCAAGGCAGACAACATTGTTATTAATACGTAACAAGAACGGAAGACTTCAGACCAATGCTCATCATTTTCAAGGAGGACAGCAGATTTTTAATGTTTGCATACCTCCAGATTCATGCGCGATGACCCCATCTTTGAGGTTTCTTCTACGACCAGGAGAGAAGACTCCAGTGCCAAAAAAAGCCATGCCTCAATTAGAGGTATCACTGAGTTAAGCGCCACTGCTAAGGATGTGGCGCTTGATTGGGCACCGCTACAGGCCGAGGGGAATCGGAAACGTGGTTGCACTGAATTCAAGCAGTACGAACAGAGATACGGAGAGTTTGGCTATGTGGTTTTTCAATGTGCGAAGCAGGCATGCATTGGGTTCTGACGAGATCCTCAATCCTATTCTTACAACCATCAACTTTGCACCATGCTTTCGGTCAACACATCCATAATGAGACTTCAACTTGGACCTGTTTCACAACCTCTCGTAACATATAAAAGTGCCAGCTCTGTTCTTCTATGATCACCAAAAAACACACTAGGGCTGACCGCTGAAGCTGTGTGAAGCTGACACCAGATTTTGCTACCTTGAGAATGGTATGTGTCCCTCTCCAGGGACTGACTATTAGTAGCTTCTCTGAGTGTCCGACTTTCTCAGTATCCTGGTCACACCAAGACAACTGAAAAGTACTCAGCTCTCAGAAGCGCGGACCAGAAACGCTCTTGACAGATCCACATGTTTCTTCTTATAAACCATGTTCTTGGGGACTCAGCCAGCAATTGAAGAGCGTTCACTTTGACTTTTTGAAGTACGTCTCTTGTGAGGTTGTCAACAGCCTGCAACAATAGGAAATCGAAGCACAATAGAAAAAGACTTAGTATTGCACTTTGATGTATTTGCAAGAGGTTTGATTTGGAACCTTACGGAGAAACGCTGCCCCCCTGTCAAGCAGTTTATCACCTCACGATGGAGAGGAACGTCAAACCAGCACTGGAAGAGCTCTTGATCAGAGTACTAGCATGCTTGTCCCGAACAGAATTTTGACCGCATGTGAAAAAAACAGAAGGACTCTCACCACCAATCAGGGTGCTGCTGATGGAGTGGCGCGCTCAGCTGCCCTCATCAACAACGATCTCGCACAACCCCATCGCCATCATTTTCCAAAAGGAGGCTTCTGAAGTGCTTCAATTGTTCAAGGTGCACCCAACTATAGGAGGTTTACTTAAGAATCTGAGTCCTTTGGCTTGTTGCTGTGTTTTCTGTACATTTCATCCATCCGCCTACCAAAGATGACGGCTGTGTCAACGGCACTCTGAACGCTTGGAAGATCGTAATTTTGAGCCAAGTAGATGCCAACGCCGGTGCCAAGCGTAAAGGAAAACATCATCCTAAATAAAGCCATGGGCGCCTCTGCCCTTTCTCAAGCGCCTCTTTTGGCATTTTCCTAACTTCCGAAGTACCTTTCGCAGCTGCGCCCAGGCTGTGAAACCTGAGGCTGAAGGATTCTGCACATGCAAAGTGGACATATGACCTGGCGCTCACCAATATTTAGGGTTTCAAGCCCCAAAGGCACATTCGAACCCTAAAAGCTGCCAAGGCCATACAACAGTCGTGATGACTCTGAGCTCAGCAGGGCCACAGGCGCAGCTGGCGCAAAAAGCAATCCTTATGCATACATTGACATAGAGGTTGGTGCTTGAAATTCTATTCCCTGAGTTGGCTGAGTAGCATCTCTCTCTCCTTTCTTGTAGCCTGCATCACAGTGAAGCCACCTGCTGCAAAAGTTTATAGTAGCGGCTTTTCTTGGAATCCAGGGACAAGCTGCTAGAGATTGTTGAGGCGGAAGAGTTGTGAGCCCCAACAAGGTCACCATGAAGATTCTGGTAGCTGTAAAGAGAGTGATTGACTATGCAGCAAAGATTCGTGTGAAGGCAGATAAGGTGAGCTCAAGTACTTTTTAAATCATCATGACGGTCTAGCTTAGATGCCCAACATTTGAAGGCTGATTGTCTTGCTGGTCCTTGCACCACCTTCTGAGCTGCTTTTTACAATAAGCCTATCTTTCATGAAGGACAAAGTGCTTACTTGTTTTGATTATATCTGATGTTCAGAATATGTATGCGAGACTACATACACTTGCATCACTGAATCAGGAAAAAAGGTGATGGCGAATAAACTTTCATCTGGACTCTTGCTGATGAAAGCTATGCCATCTGCTGCAGACGGGGGTGGAGAAAGCAAACGTGAAGATGTCTATGAACCCCTTTTGCGAGATAGCGGTTGAAGAGGCGGTGAGACTGAAGGAGAAGAAAGTGGCGACAGAGATTGTGGCAGTCAGCATGGGCCCCGCACAGTGCCAGGTGAGGTCCTTATCTTTCTTAAATCATTGTTGAGCTCCCCCCCACGCTTCTTGTTGGACCACTTTGAATTGCACAATCAGTTTTGCACCTACTGGAACTTGCAAGCTCCCTCGTCCTTCTAAGTGAGCTCAAATGCCCCATGAAGAGGCCAGCCTTTGAACCCTCATGGCGACCGTATAGTCTGCATGTAATGAGTGGGGCTCAACACAGGTTTGTAGATGGTCCAAGACCTATTTTCATTGCTGCTTTTAAACACAAGCGGCTATGCAGTGGCTTTGTTGACAAGAGTTGGCTACAAACATCTTGCAAGGAGCTAGGAGTATGGCCCTATGATATCTGGTGTGCGTCCGAAACCGTCCCACTTAACCGTCCCACCTTTCTCCTCTAGAAGCTAAGGAGAAGCTTGGCCAAAAGTGTTTCAGCTAGATCAAAGACAAATAGGCTTTGTAGTTCCAGTGTCGCTTTGTTTCTGCTCCACTCTACTCTAGTGCTCCTTGCAGTTCTTCCCTCATCGTCACGTTCTCCGTGATAACCGAACTGTAATTCAGCATCCCAGGTTCTACACTTGCCTGTCCAATGGAGTTCCTGGGAATCGATGTCAACTGGTGGACAACATCTTTTCTCTGTGCTTTTCAGGACACGCTGAGAACTGCGCTAGCGATGGGAGCGGACCGTGCAGTGCACGTCAACACGGAAGCCGACTTGCAGCCGCTTGCAGTTGCCAAGCTGCTTGCAAAACTCGTTGAGAAAGAGAACCCGGACTTATTGCTGCTAGGGAAACAGGTGGCGTACGCTCTCTCCTTTTTGCATTTCCCAAGGTTCCTGTAAGTGTGAAGTTTTGGGGAACATAAGGGCATCCTGTAGATCATCAAATCACCTTCTTTGGATCTTCTAAGGCTTGCAAGATCGTTTGATTAGTCTCTGACCCGAGACAAAACGTTTTGTAACGGTCAGGACCAGCCCTGCCTCCATAGGTTGCTCTTATTCGAGCAAGTGGCTCAACCGTCTGTATCTCGCATGGGTTTCACTTCGTTTTCAAGAACTGAGTCCGCCGTCCTCGCTCCAGGCTATTGATGACGACTGCAACCAGACGGGGCAGATGGTCGCGGCGCTCCTCCGGTGGCCCCAAGGAACATTTGCGTCCAAGGTGGGAGGCTTCTCTGCCGTGTACCGGTGACTCAGACGTTGGTTCCTCGTCCACTTTGACGACAAGTTGTGAAAGCAAGATCTACCGATCGAATCATTCTGCTCCAGTGTTGCTGACGGCAACTTTGAGGTGATGATTGCCTCTGAGCTTCGATGCATTAGTGGGTTTGGTGGGATTTGCTCATCGTTTCGTATGTTTCTCATGTTCGTCGGAGGCCGTTTCTCGTCCCTGGGTTCTAAACAAGTGCATGTCGGCTACTGGGCGGCTCCTTTCACTGATGAGTTGGAGTCTGAGTCCGTCTCACAACGAGGAAACGAGAAGTTGAAATGCCAGGTGGAATGTGTTTGCTGGCGCCTTGCAGGTCGAAATAGATGGAGCGTCGAAAGCGCTCTCATTAACTAGGGAGGTAGACGGGGGACTCGAGAAGTTGCGTTTGAAGCTGCCGGCAGTTGTGACGTAAGTGACACCTATTACGTGTGGCCTTGCATGCGTTCCAAACCACACTGACTTTCCTGCAGTACGGCAGGTAAGGGTAAGTGAGAGGACAGCGAATCTGTGTTTTGTGACGGAGTGTTAAGCTTCTTCTTGAAGATATCTGAAAAAGAGGTCCTGGAGACCTGACAGAGTCTCACATCTTCCTTTAACTATCATCAATTGAGTCGACGGCTTCAGTTCTTCACGAGTGCAGACTTGCATGCTATTGCTTCCACAAACAGTCATAGCGGTTGCAGACGGTTTTCTTGAGTCTCTTCGGTCGTCGTATCTATCTGGGGATATTTTCCACGCCGTTATCTGGGAAGATCTTCCAAGCCGTTTCAGACTTTGAAGTTTGTGATTACAAATCTTCGATCATGCATATGAAGTGACTAATCTGCGGAAAATGGCCATCCTATGTAAGGCAACGATGATCTGGTTGATGCTCTGGCTATTCACAGGACGGATCTTCGCCTCAACGAGCCACGGTATGCAACCCTTCCAAACATCATGAAAGCCAAAAAGAAGCCGATCGAAAAGCGTAGCCCTGAAGAACTAGGCGTTGACGTCACACCTCGATTAGAAACTTTGAAAGTTGAAGAACCACCCAAGCGGCAAGGGGGGCGGATTGTCTCGTCGGTCGATGAGCTCATAGACGGTCTGAAACAAGCTAGGGTGATCTGACGAGTTGCCGAGCCGGTCAGCTTTAGCGACGCGACGGCCCCTGAATCAGTGACCGCTTGTTTGGTAGATTGCGCTGCACCCTTCCTTCCGGTTGAAACATTCAACGAGCTTCTGTACATGTAACGTAAAGTGATTGACATTTTTCGAGTTGCAAAGGCGTTAAGAAATGTTCACAACGAACACACTTTACCGCTTGCTAATTTCTGATACATCCCCTCGCCACGTGGATTTTTAACCTGACAATGGTGCCAAGACGCCTGCTAACGCTGATCGTTATGCCGATAGGCCATTGAGCGTGGTTGTCATCACTCCGCTAAGGGTTGACACAAAGGCCTCAAGACGGGCCTCAAGAGAAGTGGAGCGTCAGCCTGCGGTGCACTTCGGAGGAACAAGTTGCGAATTTGGCTACGTTCATCACTTGTTTGGTATTGGTATCTGGTAATTTTTGCATGGTCTACCCGTAGCGCTGTATTGACTGGCTTTGAAAAGTTCAATTCAACATTTCCGTCTGGAACAATAGTATATGCGCCCGATATGCGCCTAAAACCGAAGTTAGCCACGCATGCACCAGGGGACAAAAAATTGATACCCCCGGTGTAGCCCGCGTTGTAGTTGTGGTAAATGCTTCACGAACCAGCACAATCGTTAATTTGAGCTAGAGGAAAGTATAGACGTGTTGGTAGAGTGCAACTGCACAGGGGATGATGTGAAGTGACTCTTCTCACAATTGCACTGCACTTGCACTGCACTGCCACCGCCCATTGGAAGTGCTCCTTGATCGCAACAATATGAGAGCCCTATATATAGCTGGCAAGCTTTGATCTTCAGATGTTTTTAGATCTACCATGTGCAAGTTCTACCATGCAGATTTTGCAATACCTTGATCTTGAATTTGACGTTGACTTAAAATGCTGAACCATAGAACGATCAAACCAACGTGAGCCCGCAGCCGAGCTGAGGCAAGCTGAGCAAGTTACCTGAGTGGCCCGCCTGCCGGCCGGCTCGCTGCCCAAGTCTGTGAGGTAACTAGCTGATCCCATCATGTCGCCCGGAACCAATGCATGCAAGCTTTTGGCGACGATGACATTCACCACCGTCGATAAAGCTCAGTTTGGTTGCATCTGACGGTCGACTGCAGCTGAGCCCATCTGCGCGCTTAAATATAGAGTGTGACTTTGCAGAGGCGCAGAGGCGCAGAGGCGCAGAGGCGCAGAGGCGCGAGTTTGACAGCACAGCAACCAGTCTGAGGTGCAGCAACTGCGATAGGAGGAGCAATTCTCCATAACTTTTTGAGTTAGAGATACGGTTGGAAAGCTCTTGCAAAGG